CCTGAACAGACATTTCTTTTTTTTTTTTTGAGACAGAATTTCACTATGTCACCCTCTGTAGAGTGCTGTACCGTCATAGCTTACAGCAACTTCCAACTCTTGGGTTTAAGTGATCCTCTTGCCTTAGCCTCCCAAGTAGCTGGGACTACAGGCAGCTATTTGTGTGTGTGTGTGTGTGGTTGTCATTGTTTAGAAGGCCCAGACTGGGTTTGAACCCACCAGCCCTGGTGTATGTGGCCAATGCCTTAACCAATGAGATACAGGCACTGAGCCCGCACAGTTCTTAAAAGAAGATTACAAATGGCCAAAACGTATAGGAAACAATTCTTAGCAATGCTAATAATCAGGGAAATATAAGTAAAAACTACAATGAGATATTACCTCACCCTAAGGTAAATATCACCTATTTTAGTCACCTAAAATAAAATGGTTATTATCAAAAAGATAAAAAATAACAAATGTTAATGTAGATATGGAGACATGAGAACCCTTATGTACTGTTGGTGGGAATGTAAATTAGTACAGCCATTATAGAAAATATTGAAATATTAAAAATACATATATCTACCATATGATCCAGCAATCTTGCTACTTGATTTTTATCCAAAGGAAATGAAATCAGAGAGATATCTGCTTTTCCATGCTTATTGAAACACTATTCATAATAGCTAAGTGACAAGCTCAACCCAAGTGTCCATCAACAGGTGAAAAAGTATGGTAGATGTATACAATGAAATACTATTCAGCCATAAAAAATGAAATCCCATCATTGTGGCAACATGGATAAACCTGGAGGATATTATGTTAAGTGAAATCAGCCAGGCACAGAAAAAAAACACTATGTACTGCATGAAAATCTCTCAGAGGTAGAGAGTAGAACAGTGGTAACCAGAGGTTGGGAAGGTTAGAGGGGAGACGGGTAGGAAGGGATTGGTTAATGTTTACAAAATTAGAGTTAGATAGGAGGAATAAGTTATGATGTTCTATTGCACAGTAGGGTGACAGTTGTTATGGTTAATAATATTATATTTCAAAATAACTAGAAGAGAGGATATGGAATGTTCTCACAATAAAATAATAAATGTGCTGTTAAATGTGATAAATGAGGTGATGAATATGCTAAATACCTTGATTTGATCATTATACAATGTATACAGGTATGGAAACATTACATTGTACCCCATAAATATGTCACTTATTATGTGTCAATTAAAAATAAAATAAAACTAAATATATAATAAGTACGTGTATATATGTGTGTAAGGGTGTGGGTATGGGTGTATTTGGTCCATTTGTCGCAGACAGTCACATGCTTGTGAAAGGGACTAGAATAAAAGTTTGATGATAGAATTACAGCTGGAACCATGACTACCACAGTCAGTCAGGAAGACCTAGAGCTCAGGAAGTTGAGATATCTCAATGTCTAGCTTCCATTTTTATTTCTTCAATGCCCCAGGGGCTGGCAAAACTAGTACATCATCATTACTACAAAGATACTGCTATTCTTACTTCAGAAACATCTGGAGTCTGACATATATTCTTAGAAATAGCCATTATCATCCTTCCAGCATGTCTGATTCAGCTAAATGATCAAAAGTCTCTTTACATTGAATTTTATGATTTAAAAATCAAACTGGAGGTCTAATACCTCTTCAAATGATAAGTGTTGTCACATTTGTTTTAAAACCACAGATCTTCTTATAGTCCCACAGAGTTCTAGGTCCCAATCCTCGATTTGGCTTAATTCTTCGTTTCTCACTTCCTTTTTGGATCATGAAGACTGAAACACACCCAGCTTCCTATGCATGGGCTTGCTCATCCATATTCACAGATCCGAGAAGTGTGCTCTCTCAGAAGAAAGTCCCTTCATTTCCCTGTAGCTCTCCCCGGTCCCACTCCTCTCCTATCCTAGTTACCTCATATAATGTATATAAACAAATTTTGACTTTTCCTTGGTATTGTCTTTTAAAAAAGCTGCCAAGTGAGAGAGAATGAACATTTTTGATAATTGTTTTTTAAAAAGTAAATTCTTTTGATAATTTTTTCATCGTGCAAAATTCATGAGCATAGAAGCTATGAAAAACAGAAGTAGGAAGAGGGCTGCCAACATTCCAAGTAATTTTCTCCTCTTGGATATTAAACTGGGATTGATTTTACAAAATACAAAGAAAACAAGAAAATAGACATGCTAGCATAGTAAGAAACAAAATAAATAAGAATATTTTATTAAATTAATGCGAGTATAAAAAGTGACAATCAAATTCAGAGTTGTCATCTCTGCCTTCAAACACAAGACAAAGGGATAAAGTGCCTTCTGAATACGAGACCACGAGAAGGTATTAAGATTTAAGAAAGGTGTGAGTAGACCACATGCCTTGCAGGGACAGAATTCTTGCTTGTACTTCACACAAAGGATGTTGTTACACAAATTATTATGCACATTGACATGTACACATACAAATAGATACAAGAAGAAGTTTTGTTGGAGATTCTGTTTCTTCAGCCTTGACCTTCAGCAAAACAAAGATTTTCTTTATCATCCCAATAAAAGACCAAGAAGGAAAGAAAACTGTGGGACCTCTTGAGAGGCAAATGTATCTCAAAGCCCCTGGAAAGCAGCATTTTAAGAGGCAGGAGTAGTGATGCCAGCTTGTGTCATTCTGTCATTCAAAGTTTCCAACACAGCTAATGAGGCTTTTCTGGCACAGATGAGGGTCTAGGACAGCCAGCAGTCGAGGAACACTGCTGGAATTTCCAGAAAGAACATGTAATTTTGCAAGCACAGCATCACAATGAAGTTTATACCCAAGAGAAAATGATAGAAAAGGTTCCAGACATGATTATGTCATAGATAGTTAATAATAAACTTGCCCTTTGGGACTAGGTTGACTCAGTCTACCCTGGAGAACCCATGGGTCTCCCTTTGACCAAACATAAAATAAACCAAATGCAAACTCAGTCACAGAGCAAGCACTGAACAAATGCTGGGTGCCCAAATGCATATGTAGTATATATTTAGCAGGTACTAAATCATATGAAAGACACTGAAAGGCTACGGGAAAGATGAACTAGAAACAAAATAGACGCAGTTCCTGACCACTTAGAGCCTTAAATATGTTCCAGCTGCATCGTCAGATATGTTAAATAAAAATTGCAAACTGCACAGCAGATGCATAATGTTGCTACTTAGGAAAAAAAATTTAAAATATAGACTTTTAACATACATTTCCAAATATACCCTATCTTTAGAAGAATACACATACAAAAGTCAACAGTGGTTGCTCTTGGAGAGGGAACCTGGAAGGCTAGGAGAACGGGATGAAGACTTTTCTTTTTTTACTGTATCTTATAAGATCTTCTGAATTTTGAATCATGCAAAGGAATGAATTCAAAATTCAATAGCATTTAAATAGAAGAGAAAGAACTGTCAGACAATACCAGACACTGTGCACACAAGTATCAGATTGTGTGGTGAAGGCAAATCAATCAGGGATAAATATAATGCTGCAAAAGGAGTTCAAGAGTTATTTTCCACAGTTCTTTAAAATATTCTCTTCTCCTTATAAACTATAATTGTTTTGATTATTAAATGTTTAAGCGTATCCCAGAACACATTGACTGGCCTTTCTCTTCCCCTGCCAATATAGTTAGACTTTCTCTCTCACACCATTATTCTCTTCCAACACCTTATGTTATGACATGGTACTATATTGTAATAATAATTTTTTGTTTTGAGTCTCATTCTATCGCTCAGGGTACATAGACTGCATGGCTTTAGCCTAGCTCACAGCAACCTCAAACTCCTAGGCACAAGCAGCCCTCTTGCCTCAGCTTCCCAAGTAGCTGGGACTAATTTTTCTATTTTTGGTAGAGATAGGGTCTCATTCTGGCTCAGGCTGGTCTTGAACTTAAGATGTCAGCGATCCTCCCACCTTGGCCTCCCAGAGTGCTAGAATTATAAGTGTGAACCACCATACCTGGCCACAATGATAATTTTTTTTTTTTTTTTTACCAAGCTCCTCATTATATTCTGAGCTCCTTGAGAGCAGGTACTTTGTCTTGCTTACATGTAGGCTCAATACCTGACATAGTGATTGATAATGCAAGGACACTTAATAAATAGCTTCTGAATAAATTAATTGCTTAAATTAAAATTGCTATAAATTGCATTCTAAAAGGGTAAGAGTTGCAGAAATCTGAGGTTTGCTATTTGCTGGCTCGGGCAAGTTATTTAGTCTCTCTGCTTCCTCAACTGCAAAACGAATATAAAAGTAGTGGTTATCACAACAGGGTTATCACAATTGGGGTGAAATTAGGTAATGGATGTAGGGTACCACATAATGGTAAAGTTGATATTTAAATGAAACAGACACAGCAACAGACACTTATGGTCTAAGATTAGTTGAGTCAATCAAAGTATCAGTGAGTTAAATAAAGTAAAAATCCTATACAAAGCAGTGCTTCATTCTCTGCATTTCCTATTTGTACTTATGGTTACAGAGGATACCAAGCACCTTACAGACACTTAATATTTTACTGGATGCAAGCAAGTCACTAAGCAACAAGCTTAGTTTGGATGACAGAATTTTAACATCTACTCAAATACATCTTTAAACGAAATCATTCACAATCACTCTTACATCACAAGAAGACTCCACAGACTCAAACTAAATAGAAGCAGGCCAGCAGTGGTGGCTCATGCCTGTAATCCTAGCTCTCTGGGAGGCTCAGGTGGGTAGATTGCTTGAGCTCAGGAGTTCGAGAACAGCCCCATCTCTACTAAAACAAAAAAATTAGTGGGGTGTTGTGGTGGGTGCCTGTAGTACCAGCTTCTGAGGAGTCTCAGGTAAGAGAACCACTTGAGCCTGAGTCTAAGAGTTGGAGGTTGCTGTGAACTATGATGCCGGGGCACTCTACCCAAGGCACAGAGTGAGACTCTGTCTTCAAAAAACCTCCCCAAATAAATAGAAACAATAAATACTGTTGCAACGTTGGGCTGCTTAGTCACACAAAAGACAAATCCAGACACTGAGTGCAGGTGCAGAGCACTTCTGCAGGAACTGACCATTGCATCAGGGATTCTCAACTCATTTTCCCGGGATGAGCCATGGATGATTTGCTGGGAGGCTCCTTATGCAGAAGTGCCTCTTCTCCCTTTCACGTGTGCCGATGAGCCTCTCAGTCCTTTTGAAGTACCAAGGTCTCTTTTTAGGTCCCCTTCTCCTCCATCTGTCTTTGTTCTTCCCTTCTTCCCCCAGGTTCCCATTTTCATTAGTGTTTGGGCCTTCTAAGTGCCACATCGTCTGTCTATATCCCATGGGCTCATTTCTTCCTCTAGTCGCGCTCAGGCCTGAGGAACTCCCAAACCACAGACTGAGAATCCCTGCTTGAAGATCAGAAGCGTCCACGTTGGATTACGTCTCCTCAAACTGTGGATCTGGAGAGTGATAATAGTACATTAATTTTACAGGGAGGAGTCAGGGAAAAAAGTTAACAAGTATCCAATGAGAACCATAACTCATATTTGCTAGATGATATAATAATAAAATTGAAATAAGAGAAAGATCCAGATTGTATTTGTACCCATTACTTTTATATGATAAAGGATGACTAGTTTGCCTGGGACTGTCCTGGTTTTAAAAGTGAAAGGCCGATGCCCTGAGAAATCCCCCAATCATGAGCAAATTGGGATGGCTGGTGCCCTAGGATGACGCAAACAACACTGACTAATTAGCTTTACCACACAAATGAACGGGATGGGCCACATAGTTAACTAGACTAAACTTAGGCTCATTGCTCACTCTGGTTTCTAACTACATTAATAAAACCTAGGAACTTTAATATAACTTTCATCTTACTTCAATAAGCTGGCTGAGATTTTTCTGCCCTTTGATAAATGTAGACATCTGTAGTACAATGGATTGAAGCTGATGGGTTGAGAGTAAGTGGGATCAGGTGGGTGGGCCCCTAAGCGTGAGTTTTGTCATTAGCTGTGTGTTCTTGGGCACTTTACATTATCTTCTTGACCCTCTCTGTCTCTACTATAGTGGATAATTATAGTATTTATCTCTTTGATTTTTTTTTTTTTTTTTGGTGTGGCTTCAGGGTTGGCAGAGGGGGATTAAATAAGGTACTGGGCATGAAGCAATTAACAAGTGCCCAACAGGCAGTATTTTAGAATGAATGAATGAATTATCCACCTAGCTAAGTCGATTTGGTCCCCTATCAGAGGGAGATGCTGAAATGCAGGGCAAGAGAGCTTAGCAAAGAGAAGCTGCTTTCTTCCCGCTTTCTCTCTCATCTCCTCTCTCTGCAGAGTTGCTCCCCACCCTCTATTTTTGAGGGCTGTTTTTAACTCTCCTCAGACTATGGGAAGAGTTCTTACATTAGAATTGCGAGGCAAAGAGGAGCCAGCAGTTCCTACCACCAGCACTGTTTAAAAGGTGGGGAGACTATCATTGATCAATTTCTCCTTTTCACTGCTTTAGCTTTTGGTTTTCTTTTTGATTTTCAACTTCCCAATCCCTTCTTATATTCTTACCATTTTGCTTCTTTGAGTTTGTATTATGGATGCAACATTTTTCCACATCTTTCATTCCCCCTTGAGAGAAAGAAAATATTTTAATTTCCATGTAGTACAACTTTACATCCTATATAGTGACTCAAGTTTAAATCACACGTTCCTATAAAAACATGTTTAATCCCCTAGGATTTCTAAATGTACATAACATCCCTCACCAGAAATCTTGCAGAATATGCTAAAAATACCATGGCTTCACAGAATAAACTATTTCTATTACTTGGGATATTCAAAAACCAGCTCAATAGAACACTGCAACCAATGCCAGACTAAAATTCAACTGAAACTGACAGGCACTTTAGCTCTTTCTCTTCTGTAAGTCTACGGTTATCTGCATGATAGAAAGAAACTATATGGCATTGAGTTTTCTTCAACCTCCATTCCCACCCAATCTCCCATCCCTCACTTGTGTACACCTCATCGTCAGCTAGCAGTCTCACTCGGTTTTGCTATAATTGTTGAACAGTGGAATGCCCTTGTGCCAACTTGGAAAGGTAAGTCAGGTAAGTCAACTCTCACCTCCTGAGAAATACTACAAGTGTTCATTGCTGCCCTCCTATATAGGGCAGCAGAACAGCAAGATAACCAGGACCAAAAGAAGAGAAGGCACATGGGTGAACATCATGGCACAGCTAAAGCCCACTTTGCATAGTTGAAACTTGGCCCTGGAAGGGAAGGCTAACAGGAGGGCAGCAGATTATAAGTCAGTATTTCCCACTCGTATTTTGGGTAGGACAGTTCCCTGTTTCATTGAACTGCCCGGCAGATTGCAGAACTTATAGCATCCCTGGTACTGTCTACTAAGTGCCATTGTGACAATAACAACATGTTCTTACATGTCCCCTCATCCCCAGTGGAGACCATTGCAATAAAGGAAATACCTTTTCTTCTTAAACAGAAGATGCCCATCAACATTATAACAAAGGAAAACAGGAAGGCTCCTACAATCATCAGGTGGGTCCTCTCATTTGGGGTAAATACCAGAGGTGATTCTGAAAAAATGAAACAAAAAGAAAGTGACTAAGACTAAAGATAAAATTTTTAGTTTAGCTTTAGGTTAATTGCTGATGGAGAAGGGGAGGAAGGCCAGGCTTAGGACAGGTAGTCCTGGGGTAAAACTCTCCTGCCATTGGCGAGCTTTGAGATTTGGAGCAAGTCCTTTAACCCACCTATGAAATAGAAACGCTAACAAATTTCTCGAGAGGTAAAGTATTTAGCTGGTACCATGGGGAATGGCTGTTCAATACTAAACGGGGGCCTCGATTACTTTACTTACTCTCGTATTCTTTAACCCAGAAGCTAGCAGCCTACTGTACATGACAAAGGTGGTCCACAGTAGACTGTGGAAGGCCAACGAGCACTGCTAAGAAACTCCTGTCTCCCCACGTCTCAGGTGATGAATGGGGACTAATGCTTGTTGTCTTTCTCTGCAGTTCGAATACCCCTGGATGTCTGGTCACTGGTGCCTCTCACTAGTCTCTTGTCTGTGATCTGATGCAGGAGGAAAAGGGGTCCTGTGGCACAGGGATGCTCAGACTGCTGAATCCCACCTGTCATCAACTGTGAACTGAGATCCACAATCCCTAACCACCTAGTTCAAACTTTAAAGCCACCATGACTGCCACTCTTTGACTAGTGGCTTAAAGGTACCAAAGCCTGTTCATATACATTTTATATGAGTCTCAACACAACTTTATGAGTTAAGCATACCAGATATGAAGAAAAAAACACCCACGTTACAGATGAGGACACACTCAGAGCAGTTAAGTGAGTTACTCTAGGATGCCTCATGAATAAAATAGCTTTGAAATGGCAGGAACCTATTATTACAGCTCTTACTCAAGGCCAGTTCAGGACCTGAGGACTCTTTACCCCAGTGAGACCGATGAGAACATATCCTTAGTTTCCTAAACCATTTTTTCCTCTTTTTGTTTCCAAGACCATCCTGGCTTGTCTTTTCCTATTGGTTGACTTTTCTATCCAGTTTTTTTCGGTGATTTTCTCTGAGATACCCAGAGCTTTTCTGTCAACATCTATTGGGGGAGGGAGCAGTGAGAGACACTTCTCAGAACGTCTCTGGGTCTCTAATAAACGTCATGCTCACCCACCTCACTCACTTTCTCTAACGGTCTCACATCAGACTCTGTTTCCCACCCCACCTACATCTATGGGACAGTTGAGTAAAAACATAAAAAACAGTTGACTTTGTGCAAGCAAGAGTCTCAAACCACTTTCCTATACTATTGCTGATTTTATCCTTACAGTAACTCTGCCCAATAGTTATAACTCTTCAAAGAAAGGAAAGCGCAAAGAAGTCGTGATTTACCCAGAGAAACACAGCTTCACGAGTAGGCTGTCTTGAGTTAAAATATCATAGACTACTTCGGGAGAAGTACATGGAGGGGAAGAATTCCTCCTATTTGGAATAAGATGGGAAAGTGCATTTCATTTGTTTCTGCCACAGAAACTCTGGGGAAAGGGAGCAACTCTGACGTGCTAGGATTTGGATTCCTGAAACCTGGCCTGAACTGAGTATTCTTCTCAGGTATTCCCTCAGGTTCCCCAGCTACAAGAGCATTTCCTACATCTGTTTTCTAGAGAGTGTGAACTTATGTCTCATTCCTCCATGTGCACCTAATAGCTAATATAACACCTGGCACATAGAGCATATTCAATAACTATTTGGTGAATATTTCTTAAGTGACAATGTAACTTGGATAAATGGGGATGAGGAAGCAGAATGCATTTTGTAAATAGAGTATTATTCATTCATTCATTCATTTGTTCAACAAACAATGATTAACTATGATGAGAAGGCATCATGGCAGGTGCTAGGGGACAGTGTCAGGCACACTTTAATTGACACATTCAGAGTATTACCTGGAATGACTAACTCAGCTGTACTGTTTTCCTCGGGATTTATGCTCCGAAAAGTGCAATAGAAAATCTCGTTAGCTGATGCGTTGATTCTTAACGTGCTGGTCACATTCAAAAGCTTCTCCTCCCTCTTAGAATTGGTGATAGTGGTCTTGCCATTCAGGACTCGATGGTCACTGCTTGTCCAGATGACTTCAGCCTTGGGGTAACCCTCAGCTTGACACGTTAGTTCATGTTCCAAGGTGGCTTGGTCCACGGAAATTCTTTGGTTGATTTTGCGGTATGGAGCTAGGTCATGAGCAAAAAGAAGTCAGGGCTTTTGCTTAGCATTTAACTAGACATGTGTCTTGGTGCTGTTGACATTAGAAAAAATGTCAGTTCAGGCTGATTCTCAGAGAAATAATGCTTGAAGTCAGACACCTCAGCATTAACTTCTGCTAACTCTGCCTCAACTCAGTTCAAAATGAAGTGGAATTTGGACTTAAAGGAATGATGACTTTGCTATAAAAATTATGCTGGTATATTTATTAGGCTTAAACCACATATGAAGATTTATTTAAAGAGAACTGTCATTTTATACTAGTAGTCTTTAATATAAAACACATCTCTCCATTTACTCGAGTCTTCATATGTTTCTCAGTAAAATGCTATAATTTTTACATGGGGCCCCATTTCTTCTTAAATATATTCCTGGATATTTTTTTTGGTTGTTGTTGTAAAGCTGTCTTCATAAACATGAACCTCTCCAGCTGGAAAGTACTGTTTTCCTAGACTTTGTATAAGCAGAAAGTCTGATTTTTGATATGTCATTTGCTTTTCTGACTTTAAGTCAATGATGAGAAATTAGACATGAAAATACATGCTATTTTATTTGTACATATTGATCCATGTTCCTGGTGATACTTTTTAAAGTTCAAATGTATTTTTTTTATTTTAGAATGGTTTTAGACTTACAGAAAACTTGCAAAGATAGTACAGAGTTACTACATACCACATACCTAGTTTTCCCTACTGTTAACATTTTACGTTATTATGGTAGAGCTGTCATAACTAAAGAACCAACATTAGTATACAATTATTAACTAAATTCCATAGTATTCCATTCCACCACCAGTTTCTATTTTTTTTTTTTTTTACATTCTAAGATCCATACAGGATACTATATCATGATACTTATTTTTTAAATTTTTTAATGCTGGCTATTTTAGTAAATGATCTAAATAATCATTATACTCAAGGAAGACAGTTTCATCAAATTTTAGATAATTGGTTTGGGACCCATTTAGGATTAGTTTTACATAATTGATTTAGGACCCATTTAGATACCCAGTTTGCTGACTGTTCTAGTAGCTTTTTAGTATATATCTTCACTTATGTTTATTCATTACAAGTATGTCAACATGTTGGTGTTTTGGTATAATCTTCACTTTACTTAGCTCTCCATTCCTTTACCAAATACTAAAAAATAGATTTGTAATCTGATTTAGTCACAAAGCAGCCAGGATCAAATAAAACTTAAATAAATAATGATGTGCTATTTTGGTATTCTTAAGTCAATGAAATCAGTATCACTGGAAACATTGGAAATGGACACAATTATGATTTCCAAACACACAAATAATAGTTAATGTGAATACTTGAGTCTTCATTGTTGCATCTTCCATGTTTAAGAATTTTTTTTAAATGAATCTACTGATTGTACTCCATGGAAGAAATATTTCATGAAATAATATTACCATAATGGGGTTTAGTTTACTTGGCACAGAGCTTGATTTCTGGAGTATTAAAATTTCAAGCCTAAAATCACTGTTAATAGTTATTAAGGGTAAAATATTTGCTTTTTTACCATCCTATTATCACTTCTACTAGAACAAGATTAAAGGAAAATGTTAAATCATACTGAGAATCATGTATAAATATGATGTACCTCTGGGTCCAATAAATGAGTGGATTTATTCCATTAAGAGTTGAATAAGTATCCACAACATTAGTCTCTAAAATGGGGCACTACATGGGAAAAAATATATATTAGGAAATAATTTAGGCCTTTTCTAGGTCACACTTTGGATGCCACATGACAGTCTTACAGGAAGATAAGAGCTTTATAATATTAAGGGAAGGGTGGTGCCTCATTTTGGGGTTATGATAAATTTTCAAGTTCACTTATCTAATTTTGACTATACTAACCATCTTACAAAATGAACGATGAGAAAATTTCCATCAATGAAACTGAGGATTGATGATAATACTAATAATTTAGGTACAAACCAAAAGGAAATGACAGAACTTACACATTTTATCAGCCCCTTTATTAGGTTAAAAGAACTAAATACTTAACTAGACCTGACAAAGTGTTGGTTAAAAACCCTCAAGATTATAGAGAACATCCACCTTTGTGAAAAATGAATTTGACACTAAGGTACATTATGCCTTGACATATTAGCTAACGATAGTAAAGCATCACAATTAGGAAGACAATTAGAACAATATATTGTTCATTAAATTTTTATTTCATCCTCTTAACATGTCTATTTTTGTACATTTTAAAATGTACAATTTATTAGGTGGAACCAGATGACAGTGGTGACATTGAGTCTCTCCTGACCTGTAAAATGGCAATTTCCTATGATACAACCCATATATTAGTAGAATATAATTTCTTTGTAACTACACACACACACTTGCACGAACACACACTAGTTTAAAATGTTTTACAGATAGGGTGGTTAATAAAAAACGTTTACAGACCCCTGGTTTACTAGATCTACAGCACTGTGCCAATGTTGGTCAATCAAGACCAAGAAAAGCTCATGATTTTTTTTTAATGTTTATTTTTTGTAGAAACAGGTCTTACTCTGTCACCTTGGATAGAGTGCAGTGGCACAATCATAGCTTATGACAGCCTCAAACTTCTAGGCTCAAGGGATCCTCCTGCCTTGGCATCCTAAAGTGCTGGGATTACAGGCATAAACCACAGTACCCAGCCTTCTTATGATAGTTTTGAAGTCAATATACACATTCTAGAGGTACAAATACAGGCAGCAAAATATGTTTATTAAGAGTACCGACTTCAGAGCCAAACTGCTTGAATTTAGAACCTGGCTTCACCACTTGCTAGTTGGGTGAACTTGGGCAAATAACTTTATTTCTTTGGACCTCAGCTTCCCTGTTCCTAAAATGGTTAGAATAGTACCACATATTATTCAATCAGATTCCGTCTATTGAAAGACTCACTTAGATTTCAGAAATAGTAAAGTGTTAAAAATATTTATCTTAGATATGATGAAGCACCTACCCCACAGAGTCATCCTTAGGAATGAAAGAGCCAATATAGGCAGAGTGCTTCATACAGGGCCTGTTACAGCAGGGGTGCTACGTAGGGGCAGTAGTGCTAGGGCTGCTCTTTCTCCTCCTCTTTTGACTTCTACTGGGTAAGGGCACTCTTGCAGTACTCCTTAGAAAGTGCTGACAGTTTCTGATGAACAGTCTTGGAAAGAAATTTTCATATGTCCAAAACTGTTTTATGTTTCCAAAATTTTAGGCTAATCTTATTTGAGGGAATAACTCATTCATTTCACAAATATTTTTTGGGTGTTCTTGTCACACTACTACTCTATGCCAAGTAGAGTATGCCAAGCCCTAGCGATGCAGCCATGAATAGAACAGACCCAAATCTCCATCATTGTAGAGTTTATATTCTAGAGCAGCAGTTCTCATCCTGTGGGTCGTGGATGGATTAAGGAACTGGATTAAAGGGCCCTGGCATTAGGAAGGTTGAGAACCACTGTTCTAGAGGGAAATAGACAATAAACAAATTAGATAGGTATAGTTACATGATATGCTGCACAATACTTTAAATAGAAAATAAATAATATAATGAATACTTAAACAGGGCTGGGGAATTGGGTGGGGGATAGGATTGGGGTGGAATAATAGCAGTTAATCTTTGGTCCATAGGATTGAAATAGCTTTATCAGGAGCATCTATGCAACCTTTTGTTCTTTCAGCTGCCTAATCCAATTTAAGGTCCTGAAAGTATAAATGGACATTTCATTTTCTCTACTACTGGGTTCCAGGATTATGAAAAAATGTTTTTAATTGAAAGTCAGATGCCTGAGAATCTGGTATTTAAGGTATCAAACATGAAAGGTACAATAACACCCAAAGCAATAATGCTAATTGAATTAACCCAAAACTAAAGTCACATTTCAGTTTTGAAATGCTTCACCCTTAAAATCCCATGTTGAGTAAACTCCCTGTGGGGAAGCTGTGTTACCACACACTGCAATGATGGGAAGAGAAACTCAACAGCATTACTGTGAAATCATTTGCATATGTAGGTGATTCAGGGACTCTACTTCCTTAAGTTAAGCTCCTGCAAGCCAGACAGGACATTTGCACTGGTGACATGTCCTCAGTGCATCTGAAGCTCAGTGGCTGTCTTGTAGTCAACACAGGTCTAGCCTTTTGGTATAGCTCAACTCAACTCCCAAGACCAAGTACACAAATGACAACAGATCTCAATAGAGTGGGACTAGCATGACAACTTAGCAATTATAATACAAATCAAATCCTCAAACCTGGTTGGTCATATGCGTTGCTTCATCAAGGACCTTCCTTTTGGAAAAACCATGAATGCCAGTTTTCCTATTGTGTTGAAGGACAGCAAAGGAAAGTGCAGATCCATGAAGGATGTTATGGAGCCCAGTGACCTAGGCTTCCATAGAAACGCTTCCCCAATACAGGCACAGCTGTCCCCCCTGCATACACCCTGCAGGCTGATGAGAGACCTTCTCTAGAAGCAGAAACTTGTATTCTATACGTCTTTCTTCTTGGTAGCCAGGATTATATTCTTACTCTCCATCCTAGATCTAACAATGCTAGCTGTTTAGGAGGCTAAGTCTTGATAATTTCTTTAATGCCTTGAATATAGTAGATGCCTAGTATTTGCTGATAGACTAAGAAAAAGTTGAAAATATAAATCACTACATCCCAAGCATATGATAAAATATAGCAAAAATTAAATGTACTTCACAAATGACAGTTTCTTGACAACAGTGACATTAATTGAGCCAGAATCAGAGACTAATAATACACATATATTATAAAATGTATATATTTCTCTTAATCCCTACATAATTGTTGTTTTGAGTTTGTAATTATCAGCATTCCTTTATGATAAATATAAACTTTGTCTACTTCTATTATTGACCTTCAGATTGATGGTAGTGAGCCCAGGAATAAAAAGTCCAAGGAGAGATGATTTGTTTCTAGTCAAATACTAGTGTTAAAAGGTCGTCATGTAAACAAAAGAAGCAGGCAAATAATCCTAAAACTAATGGGGTCCCATGACTAGGGAGGTCAGATTTCAGCTTAATATCAGCGACTAATTTCAATAGGCTATGAAAGGGGCATCCAAATGACAGGGATGACCTTGTGGGAAGTATATGAGCAGAAGAGCTTTTGGGGGGATTTTTGTTCTTTTGTGGAAGTTTGGATTAGCTGCTCATGCATGGGGTTCTTTAAGCTCACAATTCTATGAAACTCAACGATGAAAGCAAAGGTGGTCAGCTAAGGTGTTTTCCTTTACTCAGCTAGGGCCAAACCTCAAACTTTGAACTCAAGTAACTTAGTGACATATTTGTGGGTCAGTACCCAGGAATTGACACTCACGGTTCCTCTTCTATTCTCCAGGATAACACTGGTGTACATTTTCATGATGAATGTATGCCTAATGGGGATAGCTTATACCATCTCTGAGGAAGAATAGTTCCTTTACTCTTAATGTGATTATTATTTTTTTTATTTTCATAGATTAACTTCAAGTCTTTTTGAATGGAAACCTTATAATGGGGTTTATTCTTAATATATTTATTTGTGTTTGACATAAAGAGGCTGAATGGAAGGAAAATAGACCTAATAAAATTAAAAAAAAATAGTAGTTGAATAAAAAACTTTCTGGAGGGACGCCTAGACAATGGCTACTATCTTTGCATGCTATGGAAGATTACGTGGTAAAGGGAGGAGGGGCACTTTTGCAATTCATTTTATTCCCTCCCACAGTATCTGAATTTGCAAGTACATGTAATTTCTTTTATGGTAATAAAAAAGTAAAGACTAGGAATTGGTTTTTGAAAACTGAATGTGCTATAGAACACGGCTCTGGGGTATTTGGCTCTGGATCTCCAGTGACTATCAAATACGAGGTACTCAAGAAATGCTCATTGGATGAGTGTGTGAATGAGTAAAAGAATGAACAGTGGGACCATTCTGTTTGAAAGTAAGTCTGGCCTTTCAAGAATGAAAAGTTCTCAACTTTAAAAAGTTGAGAAAAAGTTTCTCAATAAAGTCGGGCATTTTAATCTATAATGAGTCTTACCATTGACTTTCAAAGTAATCCGCTTGTAGTCTGCACCACCGTAGATGATTGTGCAGCGGTAAACTCCTGCGTCCCTCAGTTTCACGTCTGTGACCTGAAGTGCCGCACTTCCCAAGAAGAGTTGGTCCTTTAACAGCCGGGCCCTCTGATGGTAGCTACTGTCCTGAACTTTCAGGTCTTCCTCTCCATGAACAAACTGAATAATTTTCTTATTCTCCATTTCCCAGTAGACAACTAATGAAACCAGGTCTAATTGTTTTTCTACTGGGAATCTGCACTCAATTGTCACATTGCTGCCATACTCTATCACATACTGGTCTTTGGGAACTGTGACAGTAAATGCTGAAAAGAAAAATGACCAATCTTCAGAAGAGGCAAAATTCCTCAAAACATGTACAAAATCAGTATTGAGTTTACAATAACTTCATCTGGTTAGTTAATGTGACAATTGTATTTAAGGACTCACTTCTTTAAAAACACATCTTTTACCCCATGGGCTTGAAACAAATTTTGGGATGCTATATCTCATCCCTTAGTCAGAATAATAAAATTAGCTATATAAGTTGTCCCACAATTCATAAACATATATTACTGTAGAAATATTATATTGTGATGGAGTACTTACAACCAGGGAGACAGTTTCACATAGACACCCCCAGGATACCCTTTGGGTAGACACCTATTTGTTTTCTACATAGAGTTAATAGTTGATTCTAGTAGCCATCTCATCTTATTTCTCAATACTTTTGATCAACTCTCTGGCCACAGGTATAGAGTTTAGGGAGGGCCTCAGGATGAAGTCAATACTGTGATACCCTGACACCTTCTATGTATACTAAAATCTTTTCTTAGAATGTCTTCTTCAGAAAAAGTAGGTTACACAGCAACCTAGATTGAATAATCCAGGCCTTATTTAAAACAAGCAAATAAAAGTAGACCTACAGGCCATGTCCTCAGATATTTCTGACAGTTATTCCTGGGAAATAGGTAATAGGTTAATTTTGTTTCACTTTATCTGTATTGTCTATGTCTTTATACAATGAAACAGGTGTCTTGTTTATGAAATATAGAAGGAAAAATAGAATGTTCTCTCTATAAGAAAAGTATATCCATTTAAAATTTATTACTTTAACTTTTAACTAAATAATGGTTGAAATATTTAAAATATAGAATTTAATGAAACGATGTGGTATCTTACCGTTCAGTAAATGCCAGTAGGCTGTGAATGTAAAGACATTAGATATCTTCATCTTTCTGGAATGACCTGATTATGAAAAACACACAGAAAAAGACATCTTTACTCAATAATTGAACACACAGTATGACAGTATGGGACTGGGAAGTTCTTTTTTTTTTTTTTTTTTTTTGACCAGGGCCAGGTTTGAACCTGCCACCTCTGGTATATGGGGCCAGTGCCCTACTCCTTGAGACACAGGCGCCGCCCAACTGGGAAGTTCTAATAGAAACAGTCTTCTAATAACCAGCCGTGACTGATGTGTACGTGTGGAAATGCAGGGAGGAATTCAGAAATTCAATACTTTCATTTAATAGCCCAGGGTCATACAAAGTCAAGCAAAAAAAAAAAAAAAAAAAAAAGAAATTACTAAAGTGAGAATTTTTAAATTTAGTTAGGAGGCCTATAAATACTTGTAATGTACTTGTAAAATAAGGCAAGAAAAAAAATTACACCCAAATCCTCTGAACTATTTCCTGTTTTCTCTGCATTCTAACATATCTGGAAATCCAAAACTGCCCTGTGCAAAATTTCAAAGCAAGGAGAAACTGACCTTCATTTCTCCTACCCTTCAATGCTTCTTTCTCTGTCCAGACAAACTTTCATCCTATTCTTTAATTATTCATGACTTCACTTCACTATCCCAATCATGCCAACTCTCCTCCAGGTGCCATTTTTTTAAAATCTCCTCTTCTGCTTCTCAGTTATTCCAAATTATAAATCCTATTCTCTCAATAAATAGATTGTACCGGTAACGGGAGGAAGTGGGAAGGAGAGTGTTGGATTTGGCCAACCATTCTTCCAGAGGTATCTGTCTACATTCTATTCTTTTTGTCACACTGCTTAAAATTATACTAGCTCTTTCATTCAGCCAGCATTGATTGCACACCACTCCCATGACTGACACTGTATTTAAGCACTGCAAATACGGTAGTGTGCAGGAAAGAAAAAATGTCACTCCCCTCTTGAGCTTCTATTCAAATAGGGAAGTAAAAGAAAACTTATACTTAATTCAGCTGATCTGTTTATTTATTAGCGTATTCTTTCTCTTGTGTTATACATATATTTACACCCTTTGATAGAGAAGTCTGTTTTCTATCTTATTGTCTCTACAACTTTTGTATGTAGTATACATACACAAACTCACAATGAACAACTAATCAGTGCCACACACATATATAAGATAGACCATTAATGCTCCTAATATATAATTAACTTCTAAACATCAATAAGAAAACTACACATAAACCAAATAGAAAATAAGCAAAAAGGTTCCAATATACAGTTGAGAGAATAAGAACTACAAATAACATGTAAACATAGGAAAGAATGCCTAATGTCACCAAGAAAACATATATATTTAAGATATGAGTTTAGCATTTACCACTTGTCAGCTTGACCAAAATTATAAAGACTATTAATGTTTAGTGTTTGTGAGGATATGGACAAATAAGCCTTATTACTAATGGTAGGAATATGAAATTGTATAATTTCTTTGGAGAGTTATTTGATAATCTCTATTAAAATTTCAAATGTATATATCATAGGGATTTTTATTTCCTCTCCTAGAAATC